GGCGGGGCGGCGCCTATTACCGTAAGAACGCGAGCGTTACGTTACCGCCACGTACCGCTGGGGAGGTGGGGGTCAACATGTCACAATATAAACAGGATTGGAAAAGAATATAGGAGAAAGATCGGGAAGGATGAAGGTATGAAATGGATAAACATATAGAAGAGCAGAGATGATGGTAAAATGTTGTATTGGGGAGTGAAGGTCTAGCTCTACCGTTCTTAACCTCAACAATAGATGGAGGTGAGTGGTCAGATTCACATGCCAGCCATTTTCCCCCAGGGAAATAGCCTGTGATGCCCATTGGATAGGAGGCTGGGTGAGCCCCAGTGCCAGTCTGGAATCTGTGGAGTAGAGAAAAATCTCTTTCCCCTGCCAGGAATAGAACCCTGGCCATCCAGCCCATAGCTTGTCATTATGCTGACTGAGCTATCTCAGCTCATGAGCAGAGATGAGGGATTAATAACTAATCGGGAGGAGGATAGGCTGGACAAGAGACGGAGAAGAAACACTAGAGAAAGAATGGAAGAAAATAAAGATATCAAAGGTAAATAGGAAAGGAAGGAGAAAATGACAGTCCCCCATCACATTGTTTGTGAAGCTGTATTCAACTATAGTTTTTTTCATTCTAACAATGCAGCTAGTCTGAGACTAATGAGTATTTCTCTTCTGACTTAAACTACTACTACTATAACTAAACATCTAAGACTACACCCACTGGTGTGTTCCAGAATCTGGTGTCTTGACTGCATTGTTGTCGCATGTTCAAGTGGCTTGAGTCTGCATCTCAGTATTTTCACTAATGCACACTTACACTTAGACTGCACTAATTCAAATGGCTTGAGTCTCTTGAGCTTCTTGGCAGCTGTATGGTGATGGAAACTTCATGTTTGATTGCAGAGACACAACTGTTCAAACGCTAACACTTCAACCAACTGTAAGGGATGGCGTTGTAAAATATGAGGACTCACCATTGGTTCAAGCTGTTAAGTATGGCCATGTTCTCATTGTGGATGAGGCTGACAAGGCTCCCACACACGTCACGTGTATCCTCAAGGTGAGTGATGTGTTTCAGCTTTAGGGATGTATATTACAGCATAACCTTAAACATAATAATGGTGAGACTGAGGACTTTCATGTCTCATATTTTCCATCTTATTTTTTAAGTGAGCTTTCTTAAAGCTGGTGGGATTGATATTAATGATTGACATGCAAAATGAAAGTTATGTTTTCTGCAAACTATACCACATGTGTTCAGTTATGTGTAGTCATTCTGTCTCTCGTGTGTTAGTGGCATGGAAGTTAAATGCTCCAAAAGTGGGTTTATTCTTCATAATCTTTAGTTAACAGGTGATTCTTTTGTAGTTTAATGTACTGTGTTGTAATGTAATGTGAACTATTGAGGCTTGGATCTGGAATTTCCGTTATATGGGAGATTTTGTTTGGAGTATTTGAAATTTAGTGTAAAAGATTGCCTTTACATATTGTGACATGTAAATCCGTTGCTAGGCAACGCCCACAACACACACAGCCAACAATACAGCAGCAGAGTTTTCTTTGTGTCTGTGCAGCTTGTGCAAATGCAATGACATCACCACAACAGTGCTTAGAAATGTGAGACAGTAAAATATGGTCGCAAGTCCCAAGGGACTAGGACCCGAGAAACACTGCGCTGGCAAGGACCAGCAGCATATGCAAAAGACAGACCCGTTCTCTCGTCAGAGAGGGCGCCCCACAGAAACAAGACGGTAACCGTCCAGGAGCAATAAATATCTGGTCATGAGCCCCAGGAGGGTGCTCGATACCAAGACTTACTGACTGACCGTCAGTCGCAATGTGACTTGGACTTGGATAGGCGACGAAAAGGGAAGTCTCAAATCTGAGACAGTAAAATATGGTCGCGAGTCTCAAGGGACTCGGACCCGAGAAAGACTGTGCTGGCAAGGGCCAGCAGCATATATAGAAGACAGACCCATCCTCTCGTCAGAGAGGGCGCTCCACAAAAGCAAGACCGTAAATGTCAAACAGTAATAAATATGTGGTCATGAGCCCCAGATGGGGCTCGACACCAAGACTTACTGACTGACTGAGCGTCAGTCGCAATGTTACTTGGACTTGGACTTGGAACAGTGCTTAGTGATCATGTGACATGTGTTTTCTGTGTGGTCTGTGCCACACAACAGTAGGACTGTGTTTTCTATGGGGTCCGTGCCAAAGAATTATAAGAGGTTCCAGAATAGCCAAGGAGTGAGTCCTAGAGAGAAAGACTTGAAAGGATTCTGTTGATGGTGTATACTATACTTCTTTTGGCTTATTTTTGACTTCATCTATTGTCTGGTATATAAAAGACAGAAGACCATAACGTTTCGGAGACTGGCTCTGTCTCCATCTTCAGGTGGGTAGGGAAGAATTAACCTACTCAGTTGGGCCTGTTAGAAAGAGCTAGTCTCAATCACTGGACAAATCCCATTCTGTAGAAAACAACCTATGATCAACCGACAACCGGTTACATCAGTGGGAGATAAGAATAAAATCACAGTAAAAGACATGATAGAAAATTTGTGTCAAGCATGCTCATGTCAACAATGTAAAAACAGAAGTATAGATTAAATTCCAGGAATTATGTTAAAAATGAAAGTAAATCTTGGATAAAGCATGCCTGATCTGTGTGAATAAAGAATTGTGCCACCAGGGCGACTTCCGGGAATCAGACTAATCCCCGGAGCAAAACTTGCAGAAGTAGTGGAAGCCACTAATATTCATAAAAACTTATATTTTTTATTTCTTAACCTCTTCATTGATGAGGCGAATCCATATGGGAGAAATATCCAAACTGGGTTGGCTGATCGGATTGGATGAACATGCCATATGAGCTGATTCTTTGTAATTTCTGTATCTGCTGTTACTTTCAACCTCCAAGATCCTAGCTTCAGCCCAGCTTACCCTGTGACCTTCTTCATATGCATGCTGAGCCAACCTGGATTTCTCTAGAAGACCCTGCTTGAGATTGTGCCTGTGTTCATGGATTCGCACAGCCAGCGGTCTGCCTGTTTCACCAATGTAGCTTCTGCCACATTCACAGGGAATGCTATAGACACACTGTGCCGTCTGTTGAGGATCCCTTTTTGGTCTCGTTCTCACGAGCGAAGATCGTAAAGTGTGTCTAGTTTTGAAGACGGTCCTAATATTATACTAGTTCCCTATGTGTTTGTACTTCTCAGAGATGCCCTTGACATACAGGATGTACACCGTGCCAAGAGGCTTTTCCTCTTTTTTCTTTTGACGACTAGTACCCTTGGACCTGATAACCGAGTCAATAAAGCATTGAGAATAACCACTAAGTTGAAGGTCGCATTTCAGGTTGTTAACCTCCAACACCCAGTCTTGCTAGTCTTGGCATATAGTGGTAGCTCTATCATGAAGGCCATGAACAATTCTCTTTTGACATGCAGGGGGTGATTGGAATTGAAATTAAGATATCGGCTAATGTGGGTGGGTTTTTTGTAAACTTTCGTGGTCAGAGCCGTCCCTTTTTTCATTACCAGAACGTCCAGGAAGGGGATCGTTCCCTCTGATTCTATTTCCATAGTGAAATGGATAGCCGGTCTTAGACTGTTGAGGTGTGTAGGAAACTTCTGTATCCCCTCTGCACCATTAGGCCAGATCACAAATGTGTCATCCACATATCGGAGCCACAACGACGGTTTGTCCTGCACCAAGTGACAGCCAGTTGTTCAAAATGTTCCATGTACATGTTGCTAACAATGGGAGAAAGGGAGCTACCCATTGCCATGCCATCCTTCTGCTGGTAGAATCTGTCATCCCCTTGAAAGTAGGTGGTCCTCAGGCAGACATCCAGAAGTTCCATGATGGCTTCCACCTGGCCTCATGGTACAGAGGGGATACAGAACTTTCTTACACACCTCAACAGTCTGAGACCGGCTATCCAGTTCATTATGGAAATAGAATCGGAGGGAACGATCCCCTTCCTGGATGTTCTGGTCATGAAAAAATTAAGAGCTCTGACCATGAAAGCTTACAGGAAACCCACCCACATTGGCTGATATCTTAATTTCAATTCCAGTCACCCCACCACATGTCAAAAGAAGAATTGTTCATAGCCTTCATGATAGAACTACCACGATATGCCAAGACTGGCAAGACTGGGTGTTGGAGGTTAACAACCTGAAATGCGACCTTCAACTTATGGTTATTCTCAAGGCTTTATTGACTCGGTTATCAGGTCCAAGGGTACTAGTCGTCAAAAGAAAAAAGAGGAAAAGCCCCTTGGCATGGTTTATATCCCATATGTCAAGGGCATCTCTGAGAAGTTCAAGCGCACAGGGAACCAGTATAATATTAGGACCGTCTTCAAAGCTAGACACACTTTACGATCTTCGCTCGTGAGAACGAGACCAAAAAGGGATCCTCAACAGACGGATATTTCTCCCATATGGATTCCTCTCATCGATGAAGAGGTTAACAAATAAAAAATGTAAGTTTTTATGAATATTAGTGGCTTCCACTACTTCTACAAGTTTTGCTCCAGGGATTAGTCTTCCCTACCCACCTAAAGACGGAGACAGATTCAGTCTCCGAAACGTCATGATCTTTTGTCTTTTACATACCAGACGATGGATGAAGTCCAAAATAAGCCAAAAGGAGTCCTAGAGAGTTCAAATGAGGAGAATTCAGTTGAAGAGAATTCCGAAGGCTGCTTAATAGTTGAAGTGTTAAAAGGCATTGAAGACATGATTTCATATGTAATAGGTGATATTGTGAGTGTGAAAACTGGTTGTAGTTACAACTGAGAATATTAGCGTGGAGTGATTTGTAGTGTGAAAATCAGTAACAGAGTTATAATTACTTGTACTTACATCTTGGGAATGTCCAATAAATTGATTCACCAATCCACCCTCCATCAGCAAGTCACTGATGCATGTGATAATATTTTGGCCACTACTGGCAATCATCAGAAGGCATAGCCAGTACTACAGAGAAAGACTTTGCATGTATGATAGACATATGTTGTCATAAAGCAATTTCTACCATTACAAGTCAAGGGTAGGCTGAAATATTAACATGATAAAAATGGCCAACAACACAAGATATATGCAATCTGGCAGTCAAAAATAGGGCCATTATTACTCGTATGTTCATATACTTACACAACAAGGCTTTTCATTAATTTTTAACTTATACTTCCTAATTATATCCACTAAAGTTGACACTAACTTCGCCGACAGTCGGCAGTCTCTCAGTCAGTATAGTTTGTTTGCAGACTACAGGCCATGGAGTATGTTTGTACTGTCTAATTATTTTTAACAACACAATTTATTTTAGTTACATTAATATTTTTTTCTGATCTCAGTTTCTAATGGTAGAAATTTATTTATGGCAACTACATGTAAAGCATTTCTTTACAGTGTTGGCTATGTCTCCTGATGATGGCCAGTAGTAGCCAGAACATGTAAAGCATTTCTTTGTAGTGTTGGCTATGTCTCCTGATGATGGCCAGTAGTAGCCAAAACTTGTAAAAGCCATCATTTATATTAAATTTATTGCGTTTGATGGACCTTGCTACTCATTCATTTATTTAATAAGAAATTTGATATATTTTGAATAGCTGCACAATTGGCAGCTTCTCAAGAAAGGCTTAGCTGCATGAGTGATTTGATATGTTTGTAGAAAGTCAAAACTTGCATCTATGGTCTCATGCTCTTAATGTAATTTGTTATCAATGTATATGGAGTCAAAATCCTTACTACATGCTTCACACTGGTTTCTTGCTTGGCTTATTTTTCGAACCTGAAAATGAAGGCGATATGTTCCTCTGAAACATCAGTTGACTTTCAGGGGCTACATGGCATTATATCTCAGAAGGTAGAACTCTTCTTGACCACTGCTGTTAGAACCTCAAATACTACAAAATCCATGCTGCTTGAGGTAAAAGTATACTTACAATAGCATGTGATTTACCAGTAACACTCTCTTCTTGTCTGATGCACAGAGTTGGAAGTAAAAGGCTACTGAAACATTATATAAGATTAAACATACATTGACTATAGAACTCATTTAAGACTGATGACTGCATTACCAAACATCAACAAAGGAAAGCAAGTCCTGATCCTCTGCATTGAATGCTTTCTACAAAAGATGAAATAATTGATGCCAGTAACCTTCTGAAGACAGGCGTTTTATGTAAGGATGAAATTCTAATAAGATGGGATGTTAAGCAGTAAATAATATCATAATCAAGGCAGGAACTTGACCACCAGCCCATCCATCCAGATTGAAGGAGGAAGTGTTTAACCTTTTCACTGCAATGACAGAACATTCCATCATGGTCCACTGATAACGTAATGAGTGTGATATACCATTACATACTGTGATTTCAGTCCCATGGAACTCATGGGTATGATGAGCTAAAGAGATGAAACATTTACGGTTGTAACAGCTGGAATTCAGTTGCAACACAGTGTGAGAGAGACAGCATAATACCTGCCATGTAGCTCTTTCCCCCCCTCCCCATTGCATGTGCTGAGGCAGCAGGTTGAGACTGCTTTGTGTTTAAGTGTTTGTAAAATAGCTCTGCGTATCTTGAAGCATAAGTGTGTAAACAGGGGTGTTTTCTGGACTTCAGTAGATCCAAATCTTGGCAATATGATGCATTTATGGCATAACATTAATAGTATTGTAAAGTATTTAGTTGCATGGGCAAAAGAATTACCCAGGGTATGTTACACCATGACAAATGAACTCCACAGGCAAGTGGTTAAATAGTGCTGGTTAAAAGTCAACCTCAACTGTACACATAGTTAAAGGTACTGAAATGAACTGTTCAAAAAAAAAAGTTTTATTTTAATTCTCTTTTAGACATTGGTAGAATCTGGTGAAATGATTCTTTCTGATGGCCGGCGTCTGGTTCCTCGTTCAGATCCCAGAGTTCACAGCAATTCTCCATCCATCATTCCTATTCATCCAGAATTCAGGATGATTATTCTTGCCAACCGTCCGGGCTTTCCATTTCTTGGCAATGATTTCTTCGGAGCTTTAGGTAATAGTAGTTAACTATTTATATTAATGACATCTGATACTAAGAATATGTTATGACTGGTTTCCAAACCCTAAAACAGTTTATTAATTTTACATGCTTTTAAAGGGAATATCACTTGCATTGAAATAAATACAGTACTTTAAAAATCTGTGGCATGTTATGACCATCTGGAGACACTATAGCCATTGCTGTTATGGTGTGTGCTGTTCATATGTATATGAACTTCATGCCATCATTTCTGTTCTCTGCTCTGTGAACACTGTGTCTCAGGAATGCAGCCTGTTGCCTGTTATGGTAAACTGCAAGGAAGATCCATTACCCTCAAGTGACATGCATGTTGTGATATACAGAATGATTCAGGAGAAATCTACCAAACTTTGTGGATACATTAATCAAGTGATTATGGGTAACAAAGAGATTCTGTTAATGTAGAGCCAATCTGGAAAGTTCATGAAGCCATGACACTTTGAAAATGAGATAAGGATGTACCAAAGATATGGGATTTTCAGTGAAAATTTGATGATAGCTTCAGTGTAAATGTAATGTAAGTATCATTTCATAATGAAACTTGTTACAAAATCTGTTTGAAGTGTCGACCTGTGACTGTAACATGCATTCGAGTACATTGGTACTAACCACTTCAGTAATGTGCAGAACTTACTGCGTACTTGCTCAAAGAGTAAGTCAGGAAACCCAGAAAGCAACTTCCTGTTCAGTGCTGAAGACAGAAGTAATACATTCAACTGAAAGATGGGTAAATTTTTGCCAGACTACATAGTTACACATCCCAGAAGATAGTACTCTTCAAATTAAGAAACTTTTGATATCATACTCTTAGAAAAACTTGATCAATTAATTGATTCATAGATTAATGCTGTATCAACTAATATTGCATCCTGTTAGTGCCAAGTCTAGACCCTTTGAGGCACAGAATTCATCTAAATACTATTCAGGAACCCATGTTGTTCTCATAGCAGTGACTATAAAGAGTCTTATTTCTGCAATATAACACGATGTAGTCCAGTGTCAGTGACATGTTCCTCTAAAGCACGTTTTGACTTTCACCAGACTGTGCAGCATTATATCTGAAAAAGAAAAAATAAAACAGTTCATACAGGTTGCCAAGTTCCGAATCAGGTTGAAGAAAATTATAGGATTTCGAAAGCGCAGACCAAGATGGGATTTGGAGAAGTTATATGCTCAAAGACAAAGCATGCAAGAGACCCTAGAAGAGAAACTCGGTGCAATTGAAGGTGAAAGCGGAAATGCTGACGCGCAGAGGAACGATATAAAAGAATGCATGTTAGATACTATGAGTGATTTGGTTGGTAAAGTTGAGAAGATAGCAAGAAAACCATGGGTAACACAGGAGATGATGAGTAAAATGGGGGAGCGAAGGAAATGGAAGAATGTAAACAATGAAGAAGGTAGGAGGAAATACAGGAGACTGAGGAATGAATTGAAAAGAGCGACGGACAGGGCCAAAAAGGAATATCTTGAGAAGATATGTAATGAGATTATGGAATTTCAAAGAACAGGACGTTATGATTTGATGTACATGAAGACAAAAGAACTAGGATGGAAAGAGAATCATGGGATTCAAAATGTTGGCATCGAAGACTCCCAGGGGAATAGAATTGTTGATCAGAGGCAAGTGCTGAAAATTTGGGAAAATTATATTACAGAACTATATGATCGACCTAATCAGCCAGAAACCTTAGAAGTTGAACGTGAAGAAGAAGTAGATACGGATGAGAAAGGACCATATATTTTACAAAGTGAGGTGGAAAAAGCTATCAAGGAAATGAGGAAGGGAAAGGCTACAGGAGATGATGATGTACCTGGAGATGTGCTCAAGTTACTGCGAGAAGGTGGTTTGAAAACACTGACAAAACTAATGAACACCATATATGAAAGTGGAGAGTGGCCCAAGGACTTTACAGAAGTTACAATGATTGCCTTAAAGAAAAAGACAAAAGCTACAAAATGCAGCGACCATCGCACAATAAGCCTTATT